TTCGTTAAGTTAATAGCCTAATAATAACGAAAAAAGTGCGTGGGGAATATACAAAGAATAGGAGGAGGTATTAAATGGAACTTCCATATACATAATGGAAGCACGCACGACATAATCATACTTTCCTAGTATACAGTACATGATTTATAGTCGTTGACCTGCCCATTGTATTCTTAATTAATAACAGTAATGATTTTTTATAGGACAAATATATATGCTTTCAAATTCAAAACATCCTCTATATCGCTGTACAGTTTAATTATTATATTTGTATAAATAAAATTGTATAACAGACATTAGCGTAAAAAAATCTTTCGTTAGCAACTAATTAATAAACAACATAACTATATTTATCTCCTGTAACATACTCTGGTAAGTCCTGATAGCATATTCATGAACTATAATTTAACAAAGATGTGTACGGTAACATTACTAAAAATCGATAGCACTTCCATGATTAACATTAAGCCATACTAGCTATCGCCCGCGACTCCGTTCACGCGGGATTAAAAACTAACTTAATTAGTATGTGTTCTTCTAGACTATGTTCTACATCTGTGTCAAATTTCATCGAGTTCCGTTGAATCGTTCGGGAGATACTAAGAAATATCCATCCATCAATCTAAGATATAATACGAGTACCTTGTAATTGTTTAAAGTTTTTACGTTTTCATAGCAGCTTCATGTTTGTAAAATACACAATCTATTTTAATTTAAGTATCGTTCGGCTTGGCAATCCATAAATAAGCCTTTTATTTTTCTTAGTCACGTGTGACTCAATTTGCTTAAAGTTGCATACTCAGCCTTTGCGACACTGCAATACTATTGTTCTACTATAAAACATTACATTTTGAATGTGTTTTCAACAATCACGGTTTAAGTAAAAATAAATTGTAAATAGATTTCGAATGTGTCTCTTGAGGAGTCTTAATGTTCCATCGTATTTCGCTTTTGTTGTGTTCCCCATACGATATGTTCAAAATAAAAAAAGGGTTTACAGTTTGCTATAAAATATTTATCATTTCACTTTTTTTCGTAAATCCTTTTGAAACCGCCTGAAACCATTATTCTCACCAGCTAGGTTCTTTGAAATCCTGCACAATGCATTGTCGGTTGGATTGCGTTGCTTAAATTGTACTAGCTGTCGGAAGCCTGTTTTTCGTTTTAAATTATTGTTGCAATGTGTGTTTTTCACTGCCACTTTTTAATGTTAAAGTACAAGCTTTGATTACTGTTAAAGATGAAAAGATCATCGTTACAAAAATAAACCTATCACTTTTGAGAGTCGACTTTTCTTATGGGGATTTACTTTGTTGCATTAAAACTTTGAATTGGTTGATTTTTGATTATGCTAAGTTCTTGAGCGATATTGCAAATATGAAAAAGCTTATATATAACAAACTTTTCGCATGGTTTTCTTTTTTATATATGATAAAGTGGCAAAGGAGCGAGCGGTCACCTGAGTCGCTGAAATGGCGAAGTGACCGTTGCCCATAGGCATACGCAATTCCATATGCGTTGCCTACTTTTAATTGACGGAGGCGAGGATGCACAGACATCATTCATTACATTTCTTGTGTACGATGAAAAGCAATGTTGCTTGTTTTCTGTAAAATTTCAGTATCGCGGTCTGTGAATTGCGAATAAGCAATTTTTGTTTCTTCTTCCCAATTGGCATTAATATTGGTTGCGTTGATTTTAATACATGGATTTAGACAGTATTAGAATTACTAGGCGCCTTCGCTACAAAGTCCAGTGTCAGAATGAATAGTGAGGGGACATAAACCTCGACATTTTAGTAGGCTAGTGTTGCGTCAATACACTGGCATTTTTCGGATTTCCTTCCTAATATTAGGAAATGATTTTTTATAAGTCAATATTTATTTTAAATGTTTACTACTATTTAACGGTAAATAATGATAAAAGCAAGTATAATATATCATTAAAAATCGCAAAGCATGGTGTTAAATTTAATTGCCTTGTTTTAACCATAATTGCCTAAAGGTCGATAACATCCACGCTTTTGTAACAAAGCCCGGCTCATTCAGTATCGGGTGGCACGCGATCCCTCCGTACTGAATGATGCCTATACTTGCCTAAGGGCGCGTTACGTAACTAAAACTAGTAATTATAAATTAATCAAGTCGAATATTGCCTGCCTTTATGTACGAAAGGGACAGACCTTAAACATTATTCATTATTTTAGATAGAAAAAGAATGAGGTTATATATGAGGGGAAGTATAGTGAGCTGACGATGATGAAGTATTCACCATTTAAAAATGTAGTGGATCGAAACATTTTTTGAGACTGTATTACTGCTGTTTGCCGAGAAGAGGCTTCAAGCTGTAGAGTGCAGTTGGCGCTTACTTCGAAATAATTTTGAGATCTAATACTAACGAAGGAGTTCGAAACTCTTAATAATCAAAAAGTAATAGTCTTACTAGCAAAGAAGTTGTCATATGTAAGAAAAATTATTACATCTACTCAACGTTGTTACTTGGTAGTGGTATAGTTCATTTCTTATATTGTAGTTCATTAATGCTACAGCCTATTGCTGTCTATGTGGAATTTCCTCAATTTTTGTCAATTCCAAACGCTAACAGTTGCGAAATAAATATACTAAATACAGTGTACATTTTTATAAATTATTCGTTCATTTCCAGGTAAAGTTACAACAAATTGAATTAGCTTCAACTGTTAACTTGGCGCAAAGGTTATATTTTTATGTCCTTGAGGAAGCGAGATGGCCAAATACACAATAACCTTGAAGGGAAAGAGCTGCAGTGTCTGGAGGTTAATTGGGTGCTAATGTAAATATTTAAAAAGGCACACGGCGACGCGGGTTTTTACTTTTCAATGATTTTAATTAAGAAAGATTCTAGAAAATTTAATTTGATTTATGGTAAATATAAAAAAAAATGAGAAGCATAAAGATTATGAATACAATAATAATCTTTAATGAATTATAAAAACCACATTAATTATTTAAATTGTGTTACAAAGTACGTATCGTGAGTGTACTGTAGTTTATTACAAAGTGGCTTTATATTAAAATCGGTAAAGGCGTCTCTGTATTTCCGAACAACGATAAATGTTCAATACCATTTTGAAGTGAAATACAAAAGTCTTTGTTCTAGTGAAAAGGTAAAAAAAGACGTGTTATAAAATGTAACTGCAATAAGATATTTTGAGTACTACTACTATTTTTATCGCGTAAGAGCATCGGTGGCTCAGTGGTCAAGCACTTGACTTGCAATCTGCAGGTTCTGGGTTCGAATCCCGCCATGTACCAATGTGTTTTTCGATTTCCGATTTACATATGTACATTTATCCGACGTTCTTACGGTGAAGGAAAACATCGTGATGCAACCTGCACATATCTGAGAAGAAATTCAAAGATATGTGTGAAGTCAACCAACCCGCACTTGGCCAGCGTGGTTGACTATGGCCTAATCACCCTTAACTTAGGGTAGGCTCCGAGCCCCTCGGTGGGGACATGCAGTGAGCTGATGATGATGATGATGAATATTCGTGATCGTTACAATTTATAGTCCTATAATACAAAAAGGGGTTATGATGAAATGTATTCACGAAGAAATTATTAATGGCAAACGATTGATCATTAGTACAAGTTATTACAGTGCCCATTGTGAACTGAAATATTATTTGGTTGACGTGACGTAATTTTCTTGATTACTTCCCCGATTACGTCAGTCTCGGTGTCTTTGTTATAAAATTGTTGCAATTAGTCGTCGCGATAATATTTTTTAGTTGAACAAAATTATAAATTAAATTGATCTCTTAAAAATTCTTGATTTCGAATCTAAAACTATGAAGTAATACTTAATTTTATAAATTTCATATTTGGGACCATACATATTGTTGCATTTAAGATGCATATTTTTAGTATATTTTTTTTTAAATCAACAGCTTCCATACAAAATATGTATACCATAATAATTATTAAAGAGATAATAATAAGCCTTAATGATATTATACTATTAGTTTAGAAAATAATTTATAGTTTAAGCGCGCAAGTGCATGTGTTGACGCCTAATTTCCGGTGTATCTAAAATGCTTGGATATTGCAAAATAATTAATGGATACGGTTGCTCTATTGACTTTGTTTATGTAAACATATATTAGAATGGATGTCGCACACTTGGATTCCTGACTAGTATAGTGTCCATACCTCTCTTGCATATGGTTAGGTTGCGTTATTATTACAATTATACTTTAGTATAGTGAGAGCGTTGGTGGCTCAAGGGTTTCAACTCTTGACTTGCAATCTGCAGGTCCTGGGTTCGAATCCCGCCATGTACCAATGTGTTTTTCGATTTCCGACTTACATATGTACATTTGTCAGACGTTCTTACGGTGAAGGAAAACATCGTGATACAACCTGCACATATCTGAGAAGAAATGCAAAGATATGTGTGATGTCAACCAACCCGCACTGGGCCAGCGTGGTTGACTAAGGCCTAGTCACCCTTAAATTAGGGTAGGCTCCGAGCCCCTCAGTGGGAACATGTAGTGAGCTGATGATGACTTTAGTATAGTGACTAGAGAGTAGTATAAAGTCAAAGTATTGCAATAGTATCAGCGGTAGATTATAGATGTGTCTGCATGTGTGCGTGCACCTGTGTGTGTGTGTGGGTGTGTTGTTCCAATGTTTGCTAATGTTATAGTTTGAAACTTTCTATTTAGAAAACAAGATTTAAATATTAACTTCTCGCGAACTATTGTCTTGATATTGAAGGAATTTGATTTATAAATACCGCATAGTGAAATTGTGTGTTCAAACGGACAATAAATCAAGAAAATTGAGCCGTTATTCCGGTCTCGTAAATCACAGGTCGCACAAATCAAACTACCTTATGAAAGGAGGTTTCAATATGAAATTGTAGATTGTAAAATTATATGAAGGTAGCAAGTGTTAATAATATTTCAAGTTTAATATGTTTGAATGATTTATTATTTCATTTTTTTTTCTTTTCAGGAACTTCAAAGCTTATGCAGTAATGGAAATATGCAATGGGCCGGAGTGAAAGTGCAATGAAGGTTTGTGTTTTTAAATTTTACCAGCTGTCGCCCGCGACTTTGTTCACGGGATAAAAAAATAGATGGTAGTTGATTCCCAGACCAACTAAATATGCTTTTGAGATACCATAAACATCGGTGAAGCCGTTTTGGAGTAGTATGGTAACAAACATTGCGACACGAGAATTTTGTATATATTATCTTAGTGTTACCTCATCCAGTTTCTGTTTCTATGGGCTCTTAGGAAATTCCTTAGGGTTCATTAAATAACTGTGTTAAGTAGTTAGATTATCAATTAAGAAAGATAGTGGATTTTTTATCTCGACTTAACCACTAAAAGTGAAATTCCGTGAAGACGAAATTATAATTACGTTATGTGGCCTTTGTACAATTTTGTTTCTCTAACAGATGAGAGTAGAAAGAAATTTGATTATTCTCGTCCACTTTTAGTTGTCTAACGACTTGAAACGTTGTCTTGAATGAGAAAAACGAATTTAGTCTACAAAGATAAAAAGTAAAACAAAAGGAAAGTAAAGATAAAGAGCCAAGTATTTGTTTGATACGGTTATTAGCAATTTTTTTTAAATATTTTAGGTCGTCACGTGCAATATAAAATCTTCTATATATATTAAATCAATTGATGTTCGTTGGTCTCGTTAAAACTTGAGAACGGCTAAACGGATTTATCTTATCTTGGTCTCGAAATGTTCGTGGAGGTCTAGGGAAGGTTAACCCTAAAAACAGCCCTTTTTTACCCATATAACCGGTTGAATGGATCTTGCTGAAACCTGGAATTGATTTAGAACATAGACTTTAAAAACACGTAGGCTAATAATTATGTTTTTTTTATTTACGGGCGGAAGGAGTCGCGGGCGACAGCTAGTTTTTTAATATAAACTTTAAATTCTATGAATAAGGTTAGCAGAATAATTATTAGATATCTTTGACTCTTAAAGCCTGCTATAGATTTTTAACTGTACGTGTTTAGGCAAAACTTTAACTATACAATTCAACTGACAATCTGTAAAAAAAAGTACAACGTTCAGAACTAGGGGACTAGCACGAACATTTGCGAGAAAGTTTGGTGACGTCATCAACTAAATTTGTATTAGATTTGTATAACGATTTTATCATATTTTCGTACTTAAGCCCCTGTTCTTTTTTTTTACAAATAAATAATAAAATGTTTCCGTCGTGGAATTGCTTGGGACATTCAGATGCAATTTTAAGTTTAAGCTTTTCTTATTCTTGGCAATAATCATAGCTAAGTATGCCAACTCTATACTTGGATTACTTGAAACATATTGTACACAATATTAAAATAAACTGCATGGATATCATGAGAAATACACAATAGAGATTTAACAATGCAATGCGAGTGTATTGAATACAATTGCCAGTTATTATCATTTTGTCTTCTACAAATGTAAAACTTATTACAATGTTTAATTATGTTTTGTTTAGCTGTCGCCCGCGACTCAGTCCGCGCGGGATGAATAAAAACTTAATTAGTACCTATGTGTTCTTCCAGACTATGTTCTACATCTGTGCCAAATTTCAGCCTGATGCGTTCAGCAGTTCTGGAGATACCAAAAAACATCCATCCATCCAAAAATTCCCATTTATATTATAGTAACTAGCTGTCGCCCGCTACACCGTCCACGCGGGCTGAATAAAAACTTAATTAGTAGCCCATGTGTTCTTACAGACTATGTTCTACATCTTTGACAAATTTCAGCCTGATGCGTTCAGCAGCTCTGGAGATATCTAAAAACATCTAACTATTCAAACATTCGCATTTATAATATGAGTCGTTATAGTTCTGATAATATAGGGACATCATAAATCAATAAATAATAATTTTTGTATTGTTTTAAATTTTATTTTTCTATGCAAAATATGTTGGCAAAGTCTTTCCTAATAACATTTAATTTACAATGCTATTTATTTAGTATTCTAATATGATACCGCTTTCCTCCGGCGCGTTATCCGCCATCGCCAAGGGTCATGAATATCTAGTAATTATCGTCATAAAGCTTGTTGCAGAGATTATACGCTTTCCGCAAATGGTTGCAATGTTTGTTATGAATTTCCCTGTTGTACTATTATTCCGAAATAATCTCGAATCCGACGAAATTTTAGAACTTTAATTGGAACGAAAACCGGTTTCGGTGAACGCAGGCAACTAGTTAGCTTCGCTTTTATATTAAAATCTATAGCGACGCTATTGGTTTGGTAATTAAACATTGTGACTATTTTATTGAGTAAATGAAAACCTAGTTAATGCCGAAACTAAAACTCTCCGTGGTCTCCGTGGAGTGGACTCTCCGGATGAGAGGATACATGGAAATGGAAACTATTTTCTTTCTGTGCATCCTCTCCTCCGTCGATTAAAGGTAGGCAACGCATATGCAATTGCGTATGTATATGGGCAACGGTCACTTCGATATTTCAGCGATTTTAGGTGGCCGCTCGCTTTTTTGCCACCTTATGATATAAAATAAAACTCTTTTGATGGAATACGATTGTATTATTCCTCGAGATTCTTGTTAAGTAACAAACGTAGACTGTTATTATTATTCGACTTAATAACGTACAGACAGAATATTTAGGTAAAATGGTTTGTCGAAACGAGATTGTTTAGCAATTAATTATTAAATTTTTCTATAAAAATAATGTTTACAATAGAATCAATTTTATATGTGCGAAGTACTCAAACATAATCACGTTCTCGAAAGCTTTCAACGAGGCAATACTGAATGAGAAAAAAATCTTGTGTGACACGTTTGCTTCCAATTGAATTTGTATGCGCATCTTAGTTCAGATGTAAGAAGAATGTTTGAGATATTTATTTATTATTAAACTTTACTTTTGAAAATAGAATACTAATTTAAGAATAAACAAATGAACAAGCGAATATGTTTTACTCATCGTTAATTTAAAAAAAAAAAGCTTTAAAGAAGCGAAACTAAAACTATCCACTGAAATTAACTATTTTTTTTAATATGGTACTTGAAGGTTATTTGAAAAATATATCCCAACATATAACATAGTCGAAATTGAAGTATTTGCTTTAATAAAAGCTGTGAAAATGTTTTATTGTTGAGTCACAAACATCAAAGTACAAATTAGAACATTGCCCCTAACGTAAAAATGCTTTGTAACGTAATGAATTTTCATTTCAGTCTAAATTCGAGGCATCTGCGTGCCTTCTCATGTGTTCAATAAATTGTAAAACATTTATCGTCTAGAGTCTATGTAGAGTCAAATGGCTAGGAATCGTGGTCAGCATAAGAGTTAATTTTAGAGTAGATGATCTGATGATGATCACTTCTAACAACTGAGGTCTAGCGTGTCTGCCACTGCGTAGAAATCGCATGACGAATGGTCCTTCATTTATTCGGTGAGCTGCCGCGTGATCTCCTGCCGTAATTGTTTCCGACCACTGTGGGCTTCTCTAGGCTTTGGTCTCCTCTGCGCATTGTGTACCAGAAATATGCAAGAATGCGTTCAAGGCATTTGCTGGAGAGGCGTGTTTGTATTTGGAGCGCAAAAGAAATAGAGCTATTAAAAATAAAAATTGTTTTAATATCATTAAAAATAAAAAATTAATTATATTTTAATAATAAGAAAGAGAGTCGTTAAAAGATGTAACAATTTTTCGGTAGCTATCTTTGAATAATATGATAATATCATAAGCTAACTCAACAGATCTAAGCTATTTACCTATTGTTATAAGATAGGTTCGGAATATAGATGCTCTTTAACTTGAATGAGGTCCAAGAGTCATGTGGAACGTAGCCAATGTGTACAAGAGACATGATATTCTGCACTCGAGTGTACATATGTGGCATGTTCTGTCTTTAAATTACAAATTCGATAACAGATTAATTCGGCACTTAGAATAAAGATTAATGAGATATTTTAAAAAGCATAATATAAATATAATTTGCTACAATTAAATTGTTTAATCTTTTTTTAGTCATTATTTTACTTCTTACTAATATTATAAATGCGAATGTTTAGATGGATGTTTGTTTGAAGGTGTCTCCATAAACGGTGGAACGGATCTCTAAGAAATTTCGCATAAATATAGTAATTGTTTTTTTTTAATTCCGCGCAGGGGGAGTCGCGGGCGACAGCTAGTAATAAATTAATTAGGAATAGCTTAACTCACGTACGATTGTCCGTTGACTGTAGCGACTAGTTTCGGACACGTCGGGGGCTCGACCTTTTCGGTACACTCGGCAAAAATCTCCTTAATAATTTCGTAAACTGCTTCACTTTAAATTTTTTAGTTTTCTTGATAAGTTACGAAAATGTGTTTTTTGTTATTAAAACCTTCTTGAGACATAAATAAAATAAATTAATATCGCAGCTTGTCCCACGTGTATTTCAGTTTAGGTAGCGTCTAGTTTTAGATCCGTCGGGAGTCCTTCTTTAGGGTCTTCGTCAATGGATTAACGGCTATTTTCGCGTTCGTCCTCAGCGCCCGGCGCAAAGCGAACGCGATTAATGCGTTTTATTTAAGTGCGTTTATAATGTCCGCATCTGGAATATTCTACTACTAATATTTTACATGTTGCTGCGTAGTTTTCAACATTACGGCAGTTTAGAATATACCTAGTTACAGTAACTATAAGGATAAAAATGTAGTTGAATTTAAAATTTGACCTAGAAATGTCTAATGAAAATATTGTAAGAATTTTCACAGCTCGTCTAAAATTTAGCCCAACATCAATGTAAACATTAGCTGCGACGTGCGACGATAATATTGTTGTAAACCGGAGATTTAACGACTCGTAGGAAAGTGGGCCAGACTTTTACTGGTGTAACATTAAACCGACATCACGGGAAATTTTCTTTGACATCGAAATGAAAATGTTATCTCTTTGGATGCATAACATCATTAAGAAATTGTCATTTTCTTAATCAATATTAGTAATTATTGCATATAATTTAAAATTAGCTTCGCTGAATAAAAACTTAATTAGTACCCTATGTGTTATTCCAGATTTTAT